GGTTGACTCGCTTTGATGCTTGGAGGTTTAAATGTAGGAGCTTATAGGGAGTTTATCTTATTGGTTTGTCCCTCTTTTCATATTCTTCAATGAAGACGATGGCGATATCAAAGGTCGTGAAGGACTAGAGTTGACGTCCAAAACTGCTACTTAAAAAGCATTGATAACGAGTCGTCCGAGGGATCGAATTGATCCCGCCATTTGGGTATTGGATCAATTTTGATCCTACAAATCCATTTTTTTAAATTTTATCCTTAGGAGATATCATTGTAATTCATGTACTTTTTGTTTCTTCAATCGAGTTTCGTACCTTATAATTTTAATCCTTTAGTTTCCAATTGTTTCAATTGTACCTCCAATTATTCTAATTCTAATTCTATTTGATTCAATTATGTCCTTAATAATTAAATTCTTTTTATATTTTCATATATATATATATATATATATATATATATATATATATATATATATATATATATATATATATATATTTGGGATTAATTCTAAAATGGAAATAAATTAAAATTAAAATTAAAAAATAAGGTAAAATTAAAAAAACAAAAAAACAAAATAAAAAGAGGAAAATTTTGAGTTGTAACACTTGACATCAACTTTATTTGATGATCAATCTCCCTATTGGGTCGTAATTTCTTGGTTAACTTTAATAGCATTGCATCATTAAATTTGACCAATACATTAACAATCTCTTTGAGTATCTTTGCACCCTCATCGTCCACCAACCATCTTCTCTCAATGTCACTTAAGTAGGTGACTTCTTCTTTATTAAAGCCCTTCTTCACTTGTATAATCGAAAGATACTTCATTTTCAATCTAGCATGTACCTTGGCCGACATTATGCAAGGTGTCTTTTCCTTCATAATCATTATTTGCTCTAAGTGAGGTGTATGCACAACTTTTGCTTATTCGAAGAGCTCCAAGTGAGGTGTAGGCATAATTTTTACTTGTTTAAAGAACTCTATTTCTAGCACAATCTTGAAGTCATCCATTTTAACCACTATGAAATCTAGCATTCCCTTCTATGCATTTATGACAAGGCTTACTCTATACACTACGCCATCGGTAGGGTTTATAGAAGCATTCACCGTCTTCATGCTACTTGACAACTTGGTCACCACCAAATCAAGTCTTTTACCCTTATCCTCAATCATAAAGTTATTTATGGCATTCTTTTGACGAGCACCTTAAACGAGAGCTTGACATTCAAGGTATTGAGAAGCCATAACGACCCCATATGCTTCTCATGCTTAAGAGCATATTCTTTCTCCTCCATCAATGCATTAAAGGCTTGTCACTTTACGTACTCTTTTCATTGATGCGACTCGTTAAGAAGTAGTAACTCTTGAGCTTAAATTCTCTCTTGTCATCTTTTTGACAAAGCCTTTGGATTCGTGTATTTTATTTTTTCCATCGTTATACCTTTTTTTCGCTAGGCTCCTCCATGTTTACCTTTGAATTCTTTATTGGGCTTTCAAGGTTCTAACTTTTTTCATACCTAATTAAGGATTTAGCTATGGTCATAGCTTTGGTGAAAGTCTTAGGACATCGACCTTACACTTTTTTTGTACTCATAGTGAAAGTTCTTTAACAAAATCATACATATGATCATAGTCGGGTTTGCCACATACTTGAAGTTTAAGGGAGACATATTCTCTAACATACTCATGAATAGCTATCGTATACTTCAATGTCCGTAGCTTATCTCGTGTTTTCTAATCTATTTCCTCGGGATAAAATTAGACATATATAGCTTTTTTGAATTCATCTCACCTAGGCAACTCTTGATTCTCCATTTTGAGCTTTTAGGGCTTCATATGCCACCATGAAGGAATATTTTTCGTAAGGTTGAGAGTAATGGTCTTGACATGACTTTTATCCTCGCTCAAGCCCATCATTTTGAAGCATTGCTTCACTTGCTAAAAGAAGTTATCGACTTCCTTGGCATCTTATTTGCTAGCATAGTGCCTTGGTCTCGGCAATTTAACTTTCGACATATCCCCGAAAACCACATCACTAGAGGTGGTTTCTCGATACATTGCCCAATCTTTTCGAAGTTGTTCAAAAATTTGCTCATACATGGTCATAGACTCTCGATGGTGCTTAAACATTTTCTTTGTCCATTCCATAAAGGTATCCTTTTCGACAACACTCTTTTTGGCACACCTTTTAACCGACTTCATCGGAGCTTGGAGATCGGAGTGCACCTCGTATGTAGCTCGCCATGCCTCATGTCTCCTCTCCATCATCTCCCTAGATCTTCCCGAGTCTCTTCTTAAAGCCGGTAAGGTGTTCCTCCGCCTTTAAGAGCCACTCTTCCAAAGCAATCGTCACATCATGAGACTTCTCTCTTTCTTTCTTAGATTGATGAGGCGAGTCTCATTCATAGTGCTTCCAACAACATCCTCAACATTAAAGCTAGACATGCTTATTTTTCGAACACTTAGCTAGCCGTAAACTCAATCATGCTTGATAAAACTTTGCTCGATACCATTTGTCACGGACTTGGCTTTTCCCAATCTCTTGAGCGGCATTCGACTCACTTTTTCTCTTAGCCAAACCAAGTTAGCTTTCTCACATACAAAATTGTTAAGCAAGAAAGACACACACAAGAGATATAAAAACTCTTTGTGTTGCTCTCTAAAATTTACAACTCTCTTAAGTCTTGTATTTCTCTGCTAGATTAGATTCCTTGGTGAAATGAAAGCCTCTCCTATTTATGCTACTCCACTTCCTCTGTGGATGACTATGAACTATTTGATCTAATAACTATACATGATTCTCTATAATTCTCTTATTTAGATATTTATAAGGAACTATCTAGATATGTATCAACTTAAAATGATGAAAGATTCTTTAAAGTTTTCTAGAACATAACTAGATTTTTTTTGGATACTTTAAAAACTTCTCTGTTGCTCTGTGATTTTCTAAGGGTTTTCAAATTTATCTAGCATTTCCAACTAACTTTCAAAAAAGTCATCTTGATGCGGGAGGTAACATTGTGCTCTTAATTTGGTCTGGGCCTAAGTTTCGGACCCAGGAAACTTGGCCACCTCTTCTCTCCTTAAATCCCACGCTACTAACCAATACATCATCCAACAAAACAAAGACACGAACGCCACCATACAATGATAACAGTCTACCATACCGTCTGTGACTCACGGTCATAAACCCCCCAAAATTCTCTTTAAAAAATCCCCCACTTTTCCCTCTTTATCCTTCTTACGCAAACTCTCTGTTACTCTCATTTTCAAATTTCAATTTCTCAAACCCTAGAGGGCTGCCTACATTCACAAACTCTAACAAAATCACAACCAAATAATGGAATACAATCCAGAATTCCTCTCTCAATGTTTCCTCCACACACTCTCTCCACAACCCGAACCTCGCCGCGCCGCCGAGTCCAAACTCACTGAACTCGCCGACCATCCTAACTATGCCCTTGCCGTCCTCCGCCTTGTAGCTGAACCCTCAATCGACGAACAGATCCGCCACGCCGCGGCCGTCAGCTTCAAAAACCACCTCCGCTTCCGGTGGGCTCCATCTCCTGATTCCTCCTTCACTCCGATCCTCGACTCCGAGAAGGACCAAATCAAAACCCTGATTGTCACTCTCATGCTCTCATCTACTCCTCGAATCCAATCTCAACTCAGTGAATCGCTCTCTCTTATTGGAAAACACGATTTCCCTAAATCCTGGCCGACTTTGCTGCCTGAGCTCGTGTCAAATCTCCGAGCCGCTTCGCAATCAAACGATTATGCTTCAATTAATGGCATTCTCGGTACTGCCAATTCCATTTTTAAGAAGTTTCGTTATCAGTACAAAACTAATGATCTCTTACTTGATTTAAAGTATTGTTTGGATAATTTCTCCGCTCCGCTGCTAGAAATGTTCCTTAGGACAGCGGCTTTGATTGATTCCATGGTTAGTTCAGGTGGTGGGTCTCCGGTTACACTAAAGCCGTTGTTTGAGTCGCAGAGGTTGTGTTGTAGAATATTTTATTCATTGAATTTTCAAGAGTTACCCGAGTTTTTCGAGGATCATATGAAAGAGTGGATGACTGAATTTAAGAAATATTTAATGAATGGCTATCCCGTGCTAGAGAGTAGTGCAGAAGGTTTAGGTCTTGTTGATGAGCTTAGGGCTGCAGTATGTGAGAATATTAGTCTTTACATGGAGAAAAATGAGGAGGAGTTTAAGGATTATTTGAATGATTTTGCACAAGCAGTTTGGACTTTGTTAGGGAATGTTTCTCAGTCATCGAGTCGTGATAGTTTAGCTGTTACGGCAATTAAGTTTTTGACTACAGTCAGTACTAGTGTTCATCATACTTTGTTTGCAGTTGATGGGGTGATACCAGAGATTTGCCAAAGTATTGTGATTCCTAATGTGAGGTTGAGGGATGAGGATGAGGAGCTTTTTGAGATGAATTATATAGAGTTCATTAGGAGGGATATGGAAGGGAGTGATATAGACACTAGGAGGAGGATTGCTTGTGAATTACTTAAAGGGATTGCAACGAATTATAAGCAGCAGGTGATCAGTATAGTTTCTGTTCAGATTCAGAATTTGTTGACTTCCTATGCTGCAAACCCAGCGGCAAAGTGGAAGGACAAGGATTGTGCGATATATTTGGTAGTATCCCTTTCAACTAAGAAGGCTGGGGGTACTTCTGTTTCGACTGATCTTGTTGATGTCCAGAGCTTTTTTGCATCGGTGATAGTGCCTGAGTTTCAGAGCCAGGATGTAAATGCTTTTCCAATGCTCAAGGCTGGCGCTCTTAAATTCTTTACAATGTTTAGGAATCAGATACCAAAGCCTCTTGTACTTCAGTTGTTTCCTTATTTGATTCAATTCCTAGGTGCAGAGTCAAACGTTGTTCATTCTTATGCTGCAAGTTGTATAGAGAAACTCTTGTTGGTGAAGGATGAGGGGGAACTTCAAGGTATACTTCAGCAGATGTAGCTCCAAATCTGCTAGCGTTGATGAATAACCTCTTTACTGCCTTAAGGTTTCCAGAGTCAGAGGAAAATCAATACATAATGAAGAGTATCATGCGGGTTCTAGGGGTTGCTGAAATAACTCCTGAGATTGCTGGACCTTGCATTGCTGGATTGACTTCTATTCTGGCTGAAGTTTGCAAGAACCCGAAGAATCCAATTTTCAATCACTATCTCTTTGAGTCAGTGGCTGTTCTTGTAAGGCGGGCATGTGAGAGAGATCTCTCTCTCATACCATCTTTTGAAACAAGACTGTTTCCTAGACTCCAGGAGATCTTGGGAAATGATGTGACTGAGTTTTTGCCTTATGCATTCCAGCTCTTGGCTCAACTTGTTGAGTTGAATAGACCACCCATCTCAGATACTTACATGGAAATTTTTAAACTTCTCTTGTCTCCAGATTCATGGAACAGAAATTCAAATGTCCCAGCCCTTGTGCGTCTCCTTCAGGCTTTTCTTGGGAAAGCACCTGAGAAGGTCAACCAAGAAGGGAGACTAGCCCAGGTGCTTGGCATATTTAACAGGCTTGTGTCAGCCCCAAGCACTGATGAACAAGGCTTCTATGTGCTGAACACTGTTATTGAGAATCTTGACTATGGAGCGATTGCTCCCTATGTTGGTCACATCTGGAATGCCCTATTCACTCGCTTGCTAAATAAACGCACAGTAAAGTTTATCAAGTCTCTTTTGATCTTCATGTCACTCTTTTTGGTCAAGCATGGCTCTGCGAACCTTGTGGACTCTATGAATTCAGTGCAAGCTGGTATATTTATGGCGATTTTGGAGCAGTTCTGGATACCTAATCTCAAACTAATCACTGGGCCCATTGAGGTTAAGTTAGTATCAGTTGCCTCGATCCGACTTATCTGTGAATCTCCTGCCCTTTTGGATGCTGGGGCCGTTAGACACTGGGGGAAAATGCTGGACAGTATTGTAACTCTCCTTTCACGACCAGAGGAGGATAGAGTTGGAGATGAACCCGAAATGCCAGATATTGCTGAAAATGCAGGTTATACTGTTGCATTTGTCAATCTTTACAATGCTGGAAAGAAGGAGGAGGATCCTTTGAAGAACATAAAAGATCCTAAGGAATTCTTAGCTACTTCATTAGCGGAGCTTTCTGCTCGTTCACCTGGGAGGTTTCCCCAGATCATCAATGAAAATCTGGATCCACCAAATCGAGCAGCATTGTTCCAGATTTGCAGCACTTACAGCTGTCCAATTGTTTAAGTGAGTACCTATATAGCTTTCTTAAGTTACATTTATTGTCTTTGCTTAACTTTTTTTTCTTATTGCTTTGCTTCTGTGTTTGCCCAGTTGTCTATTTTCTTTTCTTCTTGTCTATTTGCCACTGGATAAGATCATTAGCATTGCTTTAGTGGTATTAGACAAATAAAAATTTAAGTTTGCCAGTCATAATGAGTCTTTTAGATGAATTTAATTGCTTTGCATGGACTCATGGAATGCCTTAGGTAACCATTCCAATCGAGTAGCAATTTAACACAGTTGGTTAGCTTCACCAAACATTTGCAACAGATAATAATGATATAATCAGTATGATTTTGATATGGTGTTATCATTGTGGTATCTGCCTGGTTGCATTGTGATATATATATTTTACTTGACGTGATCGTTCTGTTTTTTTGAATAATTCTGTAGTACTGATCAATGTGCTTTTCATCTCTACTGGTGTGATCCTGCAAGAGAGAGAGAGAGGCCTACTGAAAGTCTGCAAGTTTCTAGGGTGTAGCTGTATCTGTTTTGTTCTCTTACAAAGCGTGAGCAGTGTAGATACATTGCCTCTTAGTTGTCTTGTGTGTTATACTTTGCAATTGTCATTCCTCTCTTGTGTCTGTAGTCAACAACACCCACTTAATGCAGGTCTTCTAAATTTTCTTAAACAGCATTTGGTCATTAATCCATCTTGCATCTCAACTAATTTTTTCATGACACTGCTTGTCGCTAGTGTTTGTGGGTAGTACAAAAAATTATTAAGTCATTTTATTTTCTTCATGAGAATTTGTGAATTATCATAGCTGCATATTTCATACCTATATTCTTCGATAGGTTATGCATACAGATTATGCATTCTGTACTCCTCTCACAACATTGTAATTAGGTTACATATTTAAGGCAAGAAAACAGTAATGGGATTGTAAACCAAAGCAGAATTTAAGCCTTTGCAAGGTAAATTTTTTAATTTACTTGATTCATCAGGGAAGAGTTTTGTAAATTACTAAATCTAATTGTTTAGTTTTAAAACAGTGCAGAACATGAATCATAAATTGCAGAGCTTTAGCTCCGGTGCAATATTTTTGTAGTTGAGACTAACATTATTTTCTTCAAGTTGTGGTACAGTGTAGGAATCATCATGCTAGGTCATAATTTTCTTTGTTTGCTGCTTGTCTCCTTTAAAATTTCAATTTTGTACTTAGATTGTCAGATTTTTACTTGGCTTTGTTTCCTACAATTTTCCTCAAAATTTATTATTAAGCCTGCAGGATAGCTCTTGTTATGGAATTGTAGCTGGCCTTATTTGCTTATTGTCCTATGCCTTTGATTGTTTCTTATTTGCAATGCTAATGACCATATGATGTAACATTTTTAACATATAGTTGCGATGCATAAACCAGGCACATCAACTTAATTTCCTCCTTGGTACTTTTTAAATTTACTTGCAACTACAAGAGAGATCTTACACTTTCCTTGTGCTCCCTTTCAGAATCTCATGTGGGAGTGGAGATCTGTTAGTTTCAACAAGGTGTTTCATCGCATTTACGAGCAGATGGTACGTTTTGCATTGTGGTCGACTGTTTTTGTCAAGTAATAATATTGTTTGCAACTTCCCATGATTTGCAGTAATAACTTGATTTTTTTGGCCACAGTGATTTTTCTGAAGAGTTAATGATAGTTCCACAATGTGGTTTATGGGGTCTGGTGTAGCAAACCTCCTCCCAGGCTTTGCTGTGAAGAGTTTTACGAGTCTTGTTCAGCAGCATTTGTGATTAAAATGTAGGTCTATACACTTTGGTCAATTGAGTTGTAGTTTGTGTGTACTTTACGTGTATGCATTTGTGATTATGGGGTCATTGGGCTCATTAAAAAGAATGCCAGTTTTTGAGGGAATTAGTTCAGATAATGTGCAGGTGAATTTTGATGGTTAGCTATTGCAAGCGTTCACAAGTATTACTTGCATGTTCTTGTGGTAGATTTGATTTGCCATTTATTCCGTGCAAAATGATGATGGTCCGAATAGTGATGAAGAGTAAATGACAGCGGCAGGAATTTCTTTTGCACTGAATAAAGGTGTTCGGGAAGAACAAGAATTTCCAGCTTGATGCTGTCAAGAATTCCTGGCCATTGTATGGCAACAGGTTGTGGTTCCATAACATCGAGCTGCAAATTCATGGCTGATTTTATAGTGCGATCGGAAGCCGTGTTTAAATCATTTTTCATCGAAACTTTCATCTCTCGTCGCCAAAAATAGCGTTTGGGCTCTTCATTTGTTGGGCATTCAATGTTTTGATTGTTGTGTTCATGTTTGTCATGAGAGCTGTTTTGGACTTCTATGGAACAGGAACTGGGCTAGGAAAAGGGTCACAAGGCTCTCCATTTATTAAGGAGAGGATTGATAGAATTGATCGGATTTTGAGAGTGAGTTAGGGGGAGATTGGAGTGGATCGAGGGGAGTCTCGAGCTCTGAGAGAGAATTTAAAGAGGTAAAATCTCAGAATTCGAAAGTGCAAAGTGTCTTCGTGTGATTGAGGCTATAGGATATTGTTTTGATAAATAATAAGATAGAAAATAATGGTACGAGACTATAAACTTTTAGAATTAAATGCTAAACGGCAGACCGTGGTCTCAAGTTATCACGCGAAAACAACTCACTAGCACTCGGCATAAGAGAACACAAAGCTATGGGCAAGTTTCTTGTAAAACAAAAATGTGAAGAAACATTTTGAACTGATTTAATTAGATGCTCACCCCACCCCATCCCACCCGACCGACCCCCACCCAAAACCAAAAAAAAAACATCCAATGTGCTCAGAAAGAGATAAACAAAAGGATTTTCTTATGATGCCATGCTATATAGATCCATCTCCTACTCTCTTTCTTTCTTTATTTATTCCGTGGACATAACAAATAACCACGTTCAATCAGATAGCATTTTAGAGGGTTACATATGGGCCCTAAACACTGAAGAAACGTTGGAGCTGTTTTTGTTACGATGAAACTAATGAGGGAACCCCCGATTTTTGCATCTGTCCTTTTTCCTACTCCCTTCCCCGTTGACCTTTTCTTATTCTTCATTCTTTGATTATTTTATCCAAAATGCTTGGAGAATTATTCAATCTTGCTCATCAAATCCACACAGAAGCACTCACTAAATCTCAACACCAATTATTTGCTGCAATAAAATAATTGTAGCCTAAGCTATGACGTAAAAATTTAAATAGTCTATTAATATTAATAGTACATTTCATCCACCAAATGTTGCTGATTTTTCTTAACTGGCTACCTAAGCTCCACTAAGCTTAAGCGTGCTATATTTTAACATCTGTTGGAGGATCAATAGTATAATTCTTCAGTACTACTTCTTTAACGTATCATACTTAATATTATACCAATAAGTGTCCTTTCCAATGCTAAATACTGGTACTGACATAATCATTATTGCACTGTCCGTGATTGAACCCCACCATCATATGGTTCAGGCGAAACCATATTATGGTCCCCTACCGTGCCCTCTCTGATCACCTACTCTAAGCACTAAACCAGTTGCCCAATAAGCCTCTAAAAGATCAATTAGGACCTAGAAGTTAAATTATGCTAGTTAATTAATTCGCTTTGATGTGGCTTACCTGATTTGGCCAATCACTTGACATTCATATGGCTCACCGTTTGTTGTGATAAATTACTCAATAAATAGCATGAGTCATGCTTGGCTATGGATCAAGGTAGATTTGACAAAACGAGCAGACCTCACAAATCCGTTGGAACTCGTTCGAAATAAATGATTTCGATTCATTAATTTCCTATCCAAATTAACATCAACTCAACAGTTTGTGATTTTTAATCTAAAAATCAAATTCAATTTGGATCATTTTTAACCAAAGACTAATTCAAGAAAAATGAAAAAAAAAAAGGGCATTATATAATCTTTTTTCTTGGGTGGCAATATGTTTCAGTACGTTCCAAGAAACATATTCCCAGACAGTCGGCAAGATTGTGTGGGTTGAGCACAAGCTTTATCGTCCGGACTTGCAACTAGCAAGAAGAGGGATAATTCTGATTGTCTGCATTAGCATTGCTTTTGTTTCTATTTATATGCCAATTTGCTTTGTGTGTATTTAATCAAGGAAATCAATGTCACAAACCCCACATGAATATTATTACTACATGGGAACTTCCACTCAGGGTTCTAGTCCCTTTCTTCCAACTTGTGTGTAAAGTTGATATGAAATTCAGCCAAATTGCTAAGAAGAAGAAAATTAAAGTTGGCATTAAGGTTGATACCAAGGAAGGCCAATAGTTCTCAAGATTCCAAACGTCATACACGGATCAAACTGCTTATAAAGTGTCCAATTAGGTCAAAAGTGAGTCATTATATGTACGGAAAAGAGAGTTTCCTTAATCCTTTTATGTAAACAAGGAATCTAAAAGGGGAGGGGGAAAAAAACAAGCCCAAGATTTGGATTGTGATTTGCAAATTGTGACGCTGCCTTAAAAGTTAAAAAGGTCAATAATTTCTTCGTTCATTAATGTTTAAAAACAGCGCTTTTGGGAGGACTCAAGTCTTAGCACTTTCTTTTATCAAACATACTATTTTTGTCACATGCTTGGGTCATTAATCATTTGGCTAATACATACATGTCTCCATGCATGCCCTTCTGTGCTATGAAATTTCAAGAATCCTATGATTGAAGTTTTTTTTCTTTAATATTTCGAAAGTTACATATACATTGTTTAAGATTTTCATTTTTTATTGTCTTGCAACTTAAATTGCTTCCACTTGATTGTCCCAATTACATAATTAAAGATTGTTATCAACTGCATTCTCTCCAAAACTCTCTCTCTCGTCATTGGCATGGGAATCAATCTAGCTAGTACCCTTGAAAAAGGATATTTCTGAAATTCAATTATAAATTTTCAAATAAAAAAAGAATAAAGTTGAAAGACGACTATTTTTTCTAAAAAGAGAAATCGTTAAATGTTAAAGAATTAAAAGT